AGCTCCCATCTCCAAACACAGCTTCGCTTGCAGGAGCTCGCTCCCTTTCTGCATGGTCTCCCTGCCCCTCCAGACTCCTGGCTTCTCCAGCATACGCTGTGTTCCTCTCGTTATAAATTTTCTGTGGCTGAGCTTATCTGTGAGGTACAGTCAGTACAAAATGGCCATTCATCCAGCCCCCAGGCAGAGATGGGAATGCATTAGATTCTGCGTGGAGCACACTGGGGCTGTGCGCTTTAATATATGGCCAACATGAAACACTGGTCCTATGGAAAAGTCCCAGATCAGTAGTTTATGAGCTCAAAGCCCGTCTGACTAAAGGAACAGCTGCACAGTCTGCTGTGAGCATTCAGAGTGTTCAGAGCCACCCAGAAACGATGTGACTGTGGTTAGTACAGCACAAAGCCCAGCTGCTCTGCAGAGTCTTTTGGGCCACATCCCCTGTTGTGGCAGTTGGCTGCAAGTGTGGGCAGAGCCAGTCTGCATGTGCCTTGCAGGTATTCAAAACACCCGTGTCCTGCCATGCAATCAGTCTGAGAGCAAAGCAAATCAAGGGCTGCCCCAAACAAGCAATCTGTGAAACGCAGACATGGTGCTTGGGGACATGGTTTAGTGGTGGAATTGGCAGTGTTAGGTCAGTGGTTGGACTCAGTGATCTTAAGGGCCTTTTCCAACCTAAATGATTCTGTGATTCTGTGAAGTTTTTGGTTTTGCAGACCTGATTTTCAAAAGCACCATTCAACATCCTGCTCTCTTGCTGCTGAGTCAGTCTCCACTTGGAGCCCTCAACGGCCCAAGATGACTTTTTTAGATGATTTACATGGAAAACCTGTGCCCAGTAGGGTCAGGAAAAATAAGTATCCAAGTGCTTTCCTAGCTAAAACCATCACTGCCAAAGGAGCCAGTCCCATCTCTTGTTGAGAAGAGCATTTTTATTGATGTGGCTTCGAAAGATCTTGCAGGTCACCACAGTAGCCCCGCTCACTTTGCTGCAGGATCGTAGCCTGGCATCACCCTGTCTGCACAGCAGTGAGATGAACTTAAGATTCAAGAGAGGAACCTCCCACTCTCTTTTTAAAAGCAGAGGTGATATTAAAGGAAATTATCATAAGTAATATTTTAGCACTTAACTCTTCAAAGAGACAAGCTCTTCCCATAGGTTCACCCCCCCCTGCCTAAAGCAGAAGGACACCATCCCAGGTAGGACACAAGACGTATCTGAAGAAGGTGCCAGGAGTGAAAGTAGAGCTCTGCAGGCATGGCAGCTGTCAATCAGCTGCAAATTTTGGAACCTGAGGATAGGGAGATTGAAGGAACTGGTAGGGACTCTGCTTTCATTCCTGGCAGGAAATTTAAATCAAGGAGGACTCAGGAAGTTACAGGCTGGATTGGATCAGGTCCACTTTCCCTTGCAGGTGTCTCTTGGGACAGCATCCTCCAACTCCAGGAGATGTTTCTGCGGAGCAGTTACTGAGGCCCATCAGTGGACAATTCCTGGTGCTCTTCATAGAAGCCAAACATACCTGTACAAGTGCAAGTTTTCCTTCAGGGCACTCACTGCATCACTTGGGGCATTAGGCACAGTTTGTTTCTATATCACTGCTTACAGAGTATTGCAAGAGCACCAGATCAGAAGCAGCATTATTGATTTCTTCTAATTATAAATCCTACAGAAAGTTTTCAGCTTGCAACAGTCACAGTTTTCCTCTCAGTGGAGCCAATAAAAGTTAAAAGTTACTCCCTGGTTACTGTCTTTGCAACAATAAAAAGCCAGAGTAATTGAAAAGTGAATCAGGGAAACTGCCAGATTGGAGAGCAATAATAACAGGAATTCCCTGGGAGCCCAAGCCCAATGCAAAGTTTTGTCTCTAGCTGCACCAAGCTTGAGCCCATGCTGGACAAACTCCTGTGCTGATACATCCCTAACAGAGGATATGCCTCCTGCATGAAAGTACCGGACTGTAGAGTGAAGCAGGAGCAATGACCATATGCTTGCCAACAGGCCAAAAACTCAGTACGTGAGCCAACAAGGTGATTTCAAACTCCGTCTGAGATGGTTCCTCTTCCTAATAGGCAAAATGACAATGGAACAATAAAAACAATATTTCTCCCTGTATTAGCATAAAGCTTAAAAGCAAGAGCTGGAGAAGCAGTAACAGATGGATATTTGTCAAGTGAATAGATATTTCCCACTAGATAGATTAACCAGTACAGGAAGACCCAAAGCCCCACAAATCATTACTGTTTCCACGTTGTTAAGATTAGACAATAATCATGGTTATGTCTGTAATCCAGGTAGCTTGAAGCAAAGCTGCAGGTGGCATCACAGTAGGCTCTGCGAAACATTGTTAGTGACAATGCTAGTGTAGACGGAGACCAGCAAAGACTTCTAAGAGTGAGAGAAAAGGAGCCACATAGGCAGTGGCATATCCCAAGGTGAGTTTTCATACCTGTAGCTCTGGAGGCAGATGTGAAGGGGCAAGGGGTTGTTCTGGAGGTGTTGTTCTTCCAACGAAATAATCTTGAGACATAGTGAGGCAGATCCTGAAGCAGTTTATTGTCTTTTACTCTCCACAGTGACAAGATGCACATATCAGAGGTCCCTCATCCTCAGCTACCCTACCCATATAAAGTATGTGAGCACTTCTAGTAAGTAAATCTTAAGGAGGCTCACACACCCCTTCAGATATTCTCAAAAAAGAATGGAAGTAAAGAGCAGGTCTCAGAGACATGGCTCTGGGCACTCACAGGGGTGAGCATCCATCTGGTGATGGGTGAACACAGGTTTTGGACAGCTTCTAGAAATGCTTTTCCCAGAACGGGGAAAAGACAAGCCCATAAACTGCAGCAAAAAAAAAGTTTGTATTGGCCTGAGAGAACTGTCCCTGAGCCAGGAACAGGAAGAAAACTCTTAGCACAGGTTGAACATTACACCCTGATGAGACGGGATGGGGTAACCACATGCAGATGGGCTGCTCCTGCCGATATGAAGGGACCACTAGGATGAAATTATGGGTTTGGCATATGGGTGGGTTCAGGAAGTTGCTGGGGCTCAAGTTCAGGTTTGAGTTTCCCCAAGGCAAAGACCCCAAAGGGATGCAGGATCGGGTGGTAGGTGAGAAATCATTGCTTTTACCTCCATGGTGCTGGTGTGCAATCAGCGCTGCAGGAAGCTGACGGGGAGAGCTGCAGACCCCGGACAGCCTCAAGGCACTCTGCAAACCTCCACTAATGACACCTCCCAGCACCACTGTAAGGCAACCATATGAATTAACCCCCATTTCCACACCTCTTGTTGCCAAGAGAAACGCTTTTTGTAATCATGCTGGTAGTGAAGTACACAGCTGCTCAATTTTACTTGCACTTTTAACATTAAAGAAAGCAGAATACGGGTGGTGAAATTTCCTCAAGCACAACAAAGCAGGCTGGAAATTTGTGACTAAATACCAGGGGGATTTGCAATCCAGCTTTGAACTGTGCAAGGAGGAGCCACTGGTGACAATTGTGTGCTCGCTATTTTTAGCTGGGTGGCGTGAATGCCGAATCACTGAAGAACAAGGACAGCAGCAAAACCACCAAACCCACCAGACTTGCTTTTCAGATAACTCATCTGGGACAAACCCAGGAACTTTGGCTTTTTCTCCCAACTTTTGTGCAGATTTTCTGCACCAGGTTTTTGATTGTTGCAGGAAATAAACAAATAGAATTGTAGAAGTCAGTGCTCCTAAGGACAGGTGGATAAATATAGATGATTGTGTGTTAATCTGCCTATACACAGAGATATGCATAAATATTTCAGGGTCCAGAATTAATCACAGTGTAATTGTTTTTCTGAGTTAACCACTTTGAGGATTAATGATTTTGCATCTGTGCCATGCAGTGTGCAGCAGTGGTCAGGGAAGACAGCCTTAGATAATGCACCGAGCAGCTCAGAACTGTTAAAGTTTGTCTTGTCCTCATCAGGATGGGGAGAAAGGAGAGAGAATTTCTTGTTGCACTGTTCCAAAGTGCCAGCTACACCGTCTGATCACACGCTATCACCACGCTCTCAATTGCAGAAGCAGACACAAGTTTGCCTTGCCTTTCCTCCAGTGCAGCATTAAGCCAGAGGTGTCTGGCCTTTCTGAAGTTTCTCAGAGTTGGGTAGTTTAGAAGAGGGTGTTCAAGTCCTGGTGCTCACTGTGTGCTGTAGGCAAGCCTGTCTTTGGGGCTATAAGGCCTGAGAGTTCAGGATGCTGTTCACAGAGTGATCATCTGCAGCTCAGGAGGAGACTCGGAGTGACTCAGAGCATTTTCATCCTTCTTAATTGACTGCACCAATGGCTCAGAGAGACTGGTCTGCACACCTGGCGCTGCGAGCCAGCCAGTGTGAATGCTGTCTCTTCTGCACCATTAGCAGATATTAATACCACAAACCTTACATGTGTGCAAAGTTCCTCTGCTGAAAAATGTTCGTATTCTGCAGAAACCATCTGGTTTTAATATCTGATGTGTGTAAGAATAACATTTACCTACTGGATCTACAGCAGAAGTCACCTAAGAGGGAAGTGTTCTCTTCTTGTGCCCACCACGCTGGCACAGCTGAAGAGTTAGAAGGAAAAAAAGGGCAAATTCAAGGTCGTGGCTCATAGCAAGGTGTAATCACTACCAGGGGAGTCTCTCAGGGTTTTATCTCCGTTGGGATGGCCAGGACTGATACCGGATTGCTGTATCTCCAGCCTGGAAGACCATCTGTGGCATAGGGCTGTGTTTCCCTACTGCTCCACCAGCATTAAGTAAGCTGGCAAGAGCTCTAGCAACATCCATTTGCAACATTCACACTGTTGGTGTTAAATGAACCCAAAAGAGCAAAATTTGCAAAGTTATATGGAGGTGTTGAAATGAGTTGGAAAAAAAAAAAAACCACAAGTAGGGAACTGCATCATGCCCACATGCCTCTCTTTCTTCGGGTACCATGCTTGTTACCAGTGGCTGAGTCTAACTGGGTCCTCTTCCCACAGTTCGACATGCAGAGGATAACGCTGGAAGAGCTGAAACATATCCTCTACCACGCCTTCCGGGACCACTTAACAATGAAAGACATCGAGAACATCATTATCAATGAAGAGGAGAGTTTAAATGAAAACTCTGGCAACTGCCAAACAGAGTTTGAAGGTAAGAGAGAAAGCTTCTGTGTTTCTGTACAATTATTCTCTTTCTGCTTTGTCCATGACATACAATGGGTAAGGATGCATGGAGTTAGCATGGAGTTATTTTAGAGTAAGCAGCAATGACATGCTTAGAGAGCTCAAGAGCTGCTGTTAGCCTTCTTCCACGCGGTCTAAGTAAAGCTGATTTCAGGCAAGAGGATGAACTAGTGGGTGCTTTGCCTTATGGCCCTCCTTTCTCTGATGGGATTCAGGCAGAAAGATGTGCAGCCCACGCTGAGGTGAGTGTCTAAGACAGACTCAATTTCCCTACAGAAATACGCATCTCTCTCTCAGCCTGTCATGGAAAGGCTTTACTGGCACTGGGTCCTGCCCTAGCAAACTGCATTAGGCTCCACCAGTTTTCTGTTGTCTTTCCATAAACAGAAAAGGTCTTCTGCTCTGGGCTCCCAGGGGGCAGCTGGGGAGAGTCCTCTCTGCACTGTAACATCAGCAGGGAGCAGAGCCGGTGCGTCTGCACCCTGCTGCCCTGCACACCTCTTGCACGGCACTGTCGGGACCACTGGTGTGGAGCTGCAGCATGGTGCACAGGTACACCGAAGTGCAGCTCGTCTCAACACATGTGAGAGCGTCTGCAAAATCAAGGTCTGAGAAAACCTCAGAGGTAGCTAAAGGAAGGGAAACATTTGCTTCGGCAGCTGTTGCTTAACACAGCATCCTCTCAGCAGTGCCACAAGACCACTAAGTGATCATCAACCAGGATCAGACACAGCCTCAACTTTTACAGTGGATTTTGTGCTTGGAACAGAGCTAATACTGGCAGAATATTTTCCATTTTAAGGCAGCTTAGGAGAAGTATTTTCTCGGCCAGAGGAATTTGTGCTGCTCCGAAGCATTGCTGGTTGGAACAATGAAACAGATACAAATCATTTCAAGTGCAGAAAACTCCAGGGAGTTACCTACAGAGAACCTCAGGTGCATGTCACCCTGGGACAGCTACCGTGCTTTCCCACCACAGCAATGCCACTCAATATAGGCATTTTGGGGGAGATTCTGATACTCGGAAGAGTCAAATAGCCTCTGAAAGGACACCAGGCAGAGGCACTGAAGCATCTTTAAAACAAAGCAAAAGATCAACATATTAGTGCAATTCTTAGCCTAGCTAATTAATGGGATTCAGCAGCTATATCCAGCACACTCACCCTCTGCTAAATACTGCAGAAAAGATGTAGAAGAGACGGATGAATTTTAAAAAGCCTGCAGGAGGGAGGCATGCAGCAACGCTCTTTGAATCAAGCCAAGCAACATTTTTTTGGTTCCTCCTGAAGGAAGAGATTCTTACTTACATGAATGGAGTTGTTAGTCCCCACTGACCTGCTGATTCAGTGGAGACATGCGCCAGCTGTCACCACAGGAAGAGGCATGCAGGCTTCTTTCAGCTTCAGTACTTGGAAAAAAAAAAAAAAAAAAAAAAAAAAGGGTCCGAAAACCTAAATGCTCAGCATCTCATTTTGGAAGTCCCAGCTTCCAAAAGTACAGCAAGAACAGCTTTTCTCGTGGGATGTTGGCATTGCTGGTGCTAGGCAGAACCTAGAAGCAAAACAGACCCTTTTTTAGATGTTGTTAGAAATACAGACACACACGCACAAATGCACCAGAGAATAAAGATCAACTGAACACTGTCAACAAAGATGCAAAGTTTCGCTTCAGGTCCCAGAATAAGGGGACAGTTGTGGTCCATGGCAGCTCTGACATGAGCATTTCTTCCAAAAGGCAGACTGAGAGCAGGTTGTGTCCTTGCAGCTCTCCAGACTGGATGAGCCATTACCTGAATACCCACTTGTGCCCGTGGCATTCCCATTTCCCAAACACTAAGATCCCTACAGGGCTTAAAAGCAGAAATTACAGGGCCTCATGGCATGGATCAATGGCACTAAGAGAGAGCTGTCATGAAGGTTGAACAGCATCTCAGTCTAGCTTTAAATGGCTGTACAGACGTGACTCTGTGTAAGTCAGTCACCTTAACTGATGGAGTGAAGGAGATGCTTTTTGGACATAACTCCTCAAACTTATTTTAGGTGCTACCTTGGGATGAGATGAATTCCACCTTTAAAATCACCTATTTCGTTCCACTGTAAAGGTAGCGAAAAAGGGACTAGCTTAGAGGCTTACATCTATATTTAATGTTCATTTCATCCACCCCACTGAAGTGCCTTTAATTATGGGTAAGAATGAAACCAAGATGAGCCCCAATGGTTTTCACTGAGATTTGGGAATGGCTTCTAAGCGAAGAGACATAGCAGATACATTCAGTAGTACCTTGCTGAAATGGGGGATCTCCACTCTGTGTCACTTCTGGGTGTGTCCTTGCCATGATAGAGAAGCCACAAAACCCTTCTCCATCCTGTGGGCAGAGACATCCCATGTTCTCCACACCTGGGGTTAGCTGGCTCAGCCCTGCCAGGTGCCAGACAGCGTTGTACAGGTAACATCGCCGCTGGTACAAATACATGCAAATTTCTGTCATTCTCACAATTCTGCCATCCTGGCTTCTTGTCATAACAAGGTCTTTACATCTATGTAATATTCTTCCTATATCAACGTGAACAATATACCGTATCACTCTCTCCCACACTCATACACACACGCACAACCACACACAGGCTTTAACCCAGATACAATATTCATATTATGGTGAGGGACAAGTCCAGGATTTTGTTCAGTTCACTCTAACCATCAGAGTCATTTGCAAGATGTCAGATCTAGGCTTACATTACAACTTTCCCTCCTACACATTTCTAGGGCGTTTCATTTGCCTTCTTCTTGATGAAGAACAAAGCAATGAAAATGCCCAACTCCTTAGTACAAGCAGCCCACACCAGACCAATCAATAAAGAATACAGCCAGAAGGGAGGCACAGTTATGTCTTCAGCCTTTCTCTCAATTTTTATTAATGCTTAGAGCAGGAGAACAAAGTTTAGAGCCAAGAAGAGTGCATGTTTTTATGAGAAGAGATACAAGAAAAGGACAACTGTTCGCAGCAACGTTGTACTACCAAAATTTTATAGTACAAAAATCATTTGTCTGGCAGTTCCCCTTATCCAAACACTCTCAACATTAAGCCTGTGGCAAATGAGAGTGCTGACGGGTTACTGTGACCTGTGTTGTCTGCCATGGGTTTTTCATCCTCAGCCCTGACACTCAAATTAACTGGATGTACAAGAGCTGCTGCAGCTCCCCTCCCTGCTCCCCCCATACAGTCACCAGGAGAATCCACTCCTCAGCTAAGGGCTTGGGAATGAAAAAATGACATCCTAAGAAGAAATTAACTCCCTCCAGCCAGAAAAAGCAAATATCACTCACCTTTGGCAGGGTTATAACAGAAGCCACTATAAATACACTGTAGCTGTTCACGTTAGCAAGCCTTTGTCTGCAGGTGAGAAGGCTCTCAGTGCCTACCCTGAACATCTCAAACTCACTGTGGGCATGGTGACCAGCCCAGCAGCCACAGACGGTGGAGGGATGCACCCTGAAACAAGCTGGACCCATTAACCCCGTGTGCTAGTGGAGAAGTTACAGTGTTGGTAGCTCTGTCTGTGCCATTAGTGACACCACGGTGAGTTCTCCTCGACAGCCTGTCCTCCGCACGTTGAGAAGTTGCAGGATGATCCAGCCCTGATTTGCCTTTGCTTCTTGAGATCTCATTTACATTGGACAGCCTGTGAATTGTTCTCCCCCCTAAGAAGGGGCCAGGACATCTCCAGAGGAGCTTCAGGCTCTGACTGTGCTTGAGGAACCAGCTCTCGTCCAAACCCCAGCAAGTCTCATGGGTATTAAAAACTCCTGCTGGCAGCCAAATGCAAAACAGACCGAGCATCCAGCCCTGAGACAATGCCAGCTATGGAAACCAGCAGGAAAAAGCACAGATGCCATGCTCAAAGGATCTATGAATTTGGAGAGAGAAGTGACGGCAAAAACTGACCAGTTAGCAGGGAGTGCAGATCAGTCTTCATATTTACAAGGGCAGTTCACAGGGCAGCATATACTCATTTTCACAGTGAAGAAAGTAATTTCAGCGTGTCTCTTTGGGGATTGTACGAGGGCAGAGGAACTGAAATACTCATCTTGCTGAAGTAATACCTGCTGAGCCCCAACCAACAGCAAGAGGGTGTCTCTGCATCTGCAACACCTCTACATTTCAGCGCAGACCTTTCCCGTGTTGTCTGGAGTTATTTGGTAGGTTATTTGGCTGTTTGGTGTACCTTCAGTCAGTAAAGAACAACAGCAACGACTTACCTGGATCCTCCTGCCTTAAAGCTCCATCTTGACTTGATGGTATAACAGAAGACTGACGAAGTTGTTCAATCCAGGAACACTTCTACAAGAAACACTGAACATACTTTACTCTTTTCCTTTGAATAGGAGAGCTGCCATCACAAAAAGCCTTGGCCAGTCTTTGAGTGCTGCTCCCAGTTGCTGTAATCAGCACCAGAGTCCCACACTGAATGGCAATGCTGACTGTGATGGCTTGTGTCACTGTTTTGTCTGCTGGCTGGGAGTGTTTTCAAAGTACAGAAATAATAGAAAAATAAATAAAGAAATAACTAAAGCTGCGATTTAAAAAGCTTTTGAAAGTTCTGGGGCATCATGCACAAAACCAAAGAATCACAGTATTGATTCTGTGTGCATTATAAAAGCAAGTGAGGAATCAAGGAGTAGAGCAGTGCAAGCAGAAAGTAATTTAGGAGAGCTGCCGTAAGGGGATTTCATTATCTGCAGAGAATATAGCAAGTTCCTTGGAGTGCTGGTAGTGCAGCGTTTCCCTGGGCAGTCTGGCTCAAAGTGCTGCCTAACGAGAGCTTCTTGTGCCTCCGGCGCTGAGCTGATGCTGGGGACCGTGTGGGAGCTGGGATTAGGACACAAGCACTGCTAAATCCTGGACAGAGGAGGTGAGGGCGGATGAAACAAGTGTTCAAAATGCAGCATCCAGTGCTCCCCACTTTTTGTGCAACAAGATTCAAGCCTGGATCAGAACTGGTTTTTTTTCCATATATTCTGAAAACATTCTCCTGAACTTTTTTAAACATGGGCACTTGGAGACTTCTCCTGGTTGTGTTTTAGGTTTATTGTATTTCTGAGCCTGTTGTCAACCATCTGAAAGTCTCCCATCATCACAAGTCCATCCATGAGAAAAAGGCAATGGGTACATCCCTTCTCAGGCCAAAACAAGACCCTGCATTACTGCCCATAGCAGCAGGGCAGACTTATCCATCCCATACGTGAGGATCTTCTGGCTTTCTGTGATTATATCAAGGCCTTTCAAACAGATTAATCTTCACAGTACCCCAATACCACATAGTGTTCTGATATTCATAGGTAGGGAGGCTAGGACAGAGACATGAACTGACTTTAGCAAGTCACAGAATGAGTCCTTGTTGATGAACTTAAAAAAAAAAAAAAAAGTCAAATGCTAAAAATCTCAATTTTGTCTGCATTTTAATTGCTACAAATTACTCTCACCTCTTTTGACAATTATTCTGCAGGCATTCATTTGAAAAGGTCCTTAAAAAGTGTGATTTTGCTTAGGCACAGAAAACCTAAAGACAAGTTTGGAAAAATGACTGACATACTGTGCATACTCATGGGAACTATCACAGTGGGTTTTTTAAGTGTTGTCAGGGAGCACATCTTGAATCTCTGCTCATTCTCAGTTGACCTGGATGAGTCTAAGGGATTCACAGAAGACCAGTATTTCCGATTAAAGAACTTTGGAGATAACTTCATAAAGAGCTTAAAAGAAATACACAGATAAACCAAAACACTTGAAGGTTTAAAAGCCAAGATGAGAGAGAAAGGACTTTCTGCATCGTGAGAGGGTGGTCTGTTAGGAAAGTTGGTTTGGAAGCAATGAAAGGTAAGGTGGTTTATTTGGAAATGTCCCAGAGGGAGAGATAAGACTTGGCCGGCACAGGGGAGCTCTGAGGTGTGGACTAGAGGGTTATGTCAAGGTAATAATCAGAGGCAAGGGAGGATTTCTGAGTTCAGCTGATCCTGGTGGAAAGCAAAACCATTACTTTGTCCGAGCATCTCATCTTTGCCATGTCTTCCCTGCAGTGCACGCCCAGAAGCAGAACAGACAGACCTGCGTACGGAAGAGCCTTATCTGCGCATTTGCCATGGCCTTTATTATAAGTGTGATGTTGATTGCGGCCAACCAGATCCTGCGGAGCGGCATGGAGTAGCCTCTCACCATGACACTGTGAACCAAACTGACCATGCATGCGCATGCCACCGGGTGAGCTTCCCCCGAACCGACTCTCACACGGCAAAGAGACAGAGGCAGGCAGATAAAGCACCATTCGACAAGGAGCCTGAGGCCAGCAGCGTAATGTGTCTTGTGAATCAACTACATCCTTTTGGCAGGGACATAAAAGGGCTGTCTTAATGCTTTAAAGGTTTTGTTTCCTAATGCAATAAAAAAAATATACAGGAGTCCCGAATTATTGCTTCAAAGCAGCAATGGTAACTTGGAAAAAACTTTCATCCAGCAGCCTGTTTTGCAGTTTTAAGGAGGCACAGCCTCATGACTCATTACAGAGGGGCTGTCTTTTAACCTAGGGGCCGACTGACTATTCCGCGCAGCTCTCCGCTGGGCCCACATTCCCAGGAAGTTGATCGTAGCATTGCCACAAGCAAGTTCTGTTTGTTTTATTTCATGTACTCCAGGTTCACTTGGTTTTTCCCTTATGACCATGCCTTTGAGTTTACGGCATTAGAGGGGAGATAGAGCATCCTTGTACAGTATTTTCAGAGTAAAAAAGAGGAGAATTTGCCAGCATCATACAAATTTTCTATTTTTGCTTCATAAACGCCACTTTTGACACAAGACCATGGGGTAGCGTTGAGTCCATTTGCCATTTTTTTCCGACTGTGAATCAGGGCTTGAGAAGCACCACCCGTTTTCACACATGGGCATTTCTGAGATTTGTGCACAGTCTTCCAACTGACTCTGCAACCACCAGCGCCATTTAAAACTCCCTTTATTTCGTCCTGTCTGCATATTCGACAACATTTGCTTTCCAGCAGTTTTGCCTTTCTATATTGGTCTTCAGTAACCTTATCGGAGATGAAAATCCCTTCTCCTTGCCTGCACAATTTTTATTGATTTCATTTCATATACCCTGGCTGTAATCTGCATCGAAACCTCCATGTCAGACACCTTCTCGTGGAAGAGGTTATATTTTTGCCTACAGGGTAGTGTGTGGTTTTGACAAGGCAGCTGCTCCAGTCCCTCCCAGGAGCCGTCCCACCACCACCACCATCCCATGGGCAGGCTCCAAAGGGGGTGAAGCTGAAAAGCAAAGCTGACTACAGCAAGAGGAGGAATCAAGCTAGAGCCTACTGCCATATGTTACGTAGTGTGTCAGACTTTCAGATCCTGCAAGTGTCAGTTATTTTTCCTGGAAGAGATTTTAATGAGCAGCAAGGAGAAGACAGAGTGATGCAGACTAGAGACACAACACATCCTGTGGAAAGTGCAAGGACTGGGCGAGCCCGGAGCCAGGATTACATCAGAAAGCATTTTTCCTTTTAAACTTGACACAAATCCTTGCATTTACCTTCAGATGAACTGTGCACCTGCATGTCACCCCAGGAGACATCTGCTTTCTTTGCCCTCGTGGGAGAGCTTTCCTGGCTGGTGCTCAGGGACCCAGCACAGGGAGCGCTCCCGGGGAGGTCCACGGAAGCACCCGGGTGTTTGAGTTGTGGTGGCTTCGTCCTGCCAGCTGGGCAAGCTCCAGAAACACCAAGGAACACTGAGATCTTGCTCCTGTAAATGTAGACGACTGTTTCCTGTATCACGAGATGGGGCAGGATGGCTCCCCAAGGGACTGCAAACCATGATCTTCCCTCATTCCACACAGCAGCCATCGGCTTAAGCCTGGATCCATCCCAAAGACTCGTTTCAGGTCTTTCTTTGATTACAGGTTTGATTGATAACATTTAACCTGTATTTTTTTAGTAGTCTGATTTGAAAATTTGCTTCTTATTGTTCTGTCTCCCATCACCTCTTTAAACTCATGTGACTGCTTTGGATTTTGCCTTTAGGTGTCTGTGTCAGTCGCCCACCTCCACATCGCTGCCATTTTCCTGGTGCCTCCCTCCATCACCGAAGACGACAGTCATCTTTTCCAGAGAAGCTGAGTTATTTTTTTCTGCCTTTCACAAACACACACTTCTGTATTTCTGTTCTGCTGTGACTAATAGAGGTCAACTGCAAAATATGCAGCAAAAATTGTTACATCTCCCAGAAGATGGAGAGATTTATGTTTGCTATAGGGGAGCAGCAGACTTAAAAACAACAACGGGAAATCTTAGGCAGCCTCTGAGCGTGAGATTCACACTGCTAGGGAGCCAAGGCACGCTCCCAGCATGGTCTGCACTGGACATTACAGATAACGAGATTTGAGATCATTTCAAGGGAACTGTCATCCACATTTTTAGGTCTCAGGGGCATGTGAAACGGTGGCAGCAGCAGAAAAGAATGTCTAAATGTTACTTATTAAGATTTTTTTTTTTTCCCTTGGGACTGCGCTGGAATGAATGTGGGCATCAAGGGCAGGTGGAGATAGAGTGGAGAGGTGGGCATCAACCCACCAGTCCTGCTCAGCGATGGCAGAAACACGGAGCAGAGCAGGCAGAGCAGTGCCTCTTCACTAAGCCCAGAAACACAAGCTAAAACACATAGGCCAGGCATTTTTCCATGTTCTTCTCACTCCTCTGACAGCTAATACCAGGCAGACTCCAATCATAAGAGCTGCCTTACGGACGAGATGGTCTTTTGCATTCCTTTAAGCTTTCTGGAAGGCTTCATAATTTCTACATGCATGCTCCATAAAAACCTTTGTAAATACAGTCATTTTTCAGTATGATTCTTCACCTTGAAGCTCCATTTGTAAAACCAAACCTATAATTAATATATTGGTAAAAGCCATAGCCTGGTGTCAGTAGAGTTCATTGCAAAACTCCCCACTGATTTTACTGGGTACAGGATCCGGGGGTTTGAGGGTTTTCTCTTTCTGTAGAGAATTCAGTGTATCCATTATGAATCAGTGTCATGCCTTATTAGAGGTCTCCTTTTTCTTCCTAGAGCAACCTTTCTCCATCTAAATGTGTCTTGAAGAGATCTCTTCTTCAGTCAGTCAGGCTTTTCTGGTAGCTAGTGGCAATGCAGGATGGATCAGGCCAAGCCATTTAATAATTTCCTCTCCCCACAACCTTTCTACTGACACCTTGCCATCCTTCCTAGCCAGCATCTCTTACCTACTTTTTTTTTTTTTTTTTTTTTCTTCAACACAAGAAGGAAAAAAAGGGCTTTTTGTTGCTTTACAGGCAGTAGGTAAAAATAGAGCAGCAAATTTTTGATTGGAACCTATGGCAAAAGCTTAGGGGGAAGAAAGTAGAAGAATCAAAGAAATAAAAATAAAAAACCCCACATCCCATACTTTCAGAAAAAAAAAACCAAAAACTATTTAAGTGCTAATTAACATACTTTTAAAAAATACCCAGACTGCAGCAGTGCTAGGTAGAGCTGTCAGAAAAAGCACTAAACTTATGCTCTTGCCAGTTACATGAGAATTTAAGTGTCTTTTCAGCACTGCAATTCTGTATGAAAAGGATATTGCTATGGCAACCCTCGCTGTTCGTGACGTGTGCCACCGTGTCGGAGCAACACACAGCAGTTGCAGACATGCTCCCAGACAAACCAAGGATGGACAAACAGCTCCCAGCAGCCCAGGACAGCGTTTCAGAAAATTATCAGCAAATTGTGAGCACCCCGAAGACAACTCTTTTGGCTTAGCCACAAAAAGATGTGTGCAGTTAAACAGATTGACAGGCAGGGAAGGCTTCGAGATGGACATCATTTTAGCTTGAGGGAGGCTTTGGTTTGGTTTTGGAGCAAGTGAAATCAGTGCAGCGTAAGCACTGCTCGACACAAGCTGTCCTGTGCTCGTTGAGGACACTTTGGGCAGGCCCTTCATGAAGGGATTGATCTCTGATGGGAAGGATTTGGCTTATGGCTCCTGCAAGGCACCGAGGTGCATCACTGATAACCATTGGCTTTAGTTTCGAAGGCACGTACTGCTTTTCTGTTCCTGGAGAAGCCAACAAGGGAATGGCAAGCACATGGCATGTGAAGATACTTTGGAGGCCACAGAGAAATGAATTCCAGCAAAAACTGCTGAAGGAGCATTGCTTACCTGTCAGATCCAAAGCCGTACCATAAGGTCAGCCATGAAGAAAACTGCAGCTGAGGTGTTACCAGGCAGGGCAAGTGCATCATGGTTGTGGCAGTGGCCTTGGGGAGCATGTTCCTGCCCATGACAGGCTGTGCCATCCAAGGACTTCACTGGGGCCTGACCCTCTCAATGAATCTACCACTGAGAAGTAATTTCCAATCAGGAGCAATATCAACAGTAAATTAAAAAATCAAACAGGGTGGACAAGGTTGTTAGGGTGAATTTGGTCCTCATGCTGTTGGAGTTCATATAAAATAAAAGAGAGTTGATGAAGAACAAAGTAATTCTTTTTCATGTTTGATGGGTATCCACAAATATGACAGTTACTGTTAGCAGACACCCTGTCCTAGGGAAGGTGCTCACAGTACCCCCAGGACAAGGGTCACCTGTGAGCAGAAGAGTGGGAGGTGGTAAGAGATCCACCTACCTGCCATTGCTCCCAGGTGAGCTACAGCTTAATATTTGGATATCAACTTGCGATTTGGAGAGATTTCATACAGACTATTCAGTGGTTATTGGGAGCTCACGTGTTGGATATGGTGCACTGGTAGGGCTGCACATTGGTTGTCTTACGTGGGAGACTTCCAGAAACTGTGCAAAAGAAAAGGTATGTACTTATATACCCACCTCTCTAAGCTGAAGTGAAGTAAATGGGGTTTTTCGGTCCTTCTCTCAAAAGAAATGAGAGCAAGCAAGCAAATCAAGAAAAGGCAGAAGGCATTCCCAGGGATCCTACTCTGGATGTCTGTTTGACAATCTTGGATGAGCAAAGTACCTACTGGCAAACACTTTTTTCCATGGAAAGCATAGGAATATTCTTTCACAAAAAAAACCCACGCTGCGTATTTTGCCTGCTGCAGAAGACCAAAACATCTCCTGGGACACCCAGAGGACTGTGATGTCTGTCCGAGGTCCAGTGCTGGCTCTGCTCAACATGACACACTGCTTTGCAAGGTGCCTGATACAAAGAGAGTCAGCTTTTCCCACAGAAGACTCTCTCCCCTCACATTGTGCACACGTGCACGGAGCAAGCAGTGCTGCAGAGGGTTGTCATCGCACTAAAGCAAGAGGTGCACAGTCCCAAGTCAGACTTAGATCTGTGAGGAGAGAAGCAGTAGGAGGAATACATTAAGCTCACTAAGAATGAAGTTCCCTATTTTATCCACCCGTGTAATAAATTATTTAGTTTCTGCTTTATGGATGACTATTTGAAAGAAGAAAAACCAACTCTTCTAAAATGAGAATCTGATGCAGTATCTTTTTTCTTGGCTCTGAATCATGCTTACATTCCATAGATGAAGATGTACAGAACTTGCTGGTTTTCAATCTATTATTTTACTGTACTGTGTTCTGACAGTGCAATTACATTTCCCTGGCATCACTTAAAACCTATTACTTTTCCAGGAATTTAATACAGAAAAAGAAAAGGCTCACAACATTTTCATCTCTCCGTATCGTCAGTTGTTATCAGGATTGGAACTTGGTTTTCTCCAGTTCAAGTAGGAAGTTTTATGCAGCTCTAGGAACTGTAGAAGCTTCATCAAGAGCAAGATGGACAGAAAATCTGACAACAACATTTTAATTGGAAGAGTACTTAACTCCTCCCCCTCCAGTGGCAAAAGTCTGATAAACTACCACAATTTGACATCTTCATGAGGAAAGAATTTCAGCCCCAGAAGTGAGGACAAGGAAGAGAAAGGAGAAAAAGGAAGTACTCTGGTACTTGATGATGAAAATACTGTAGGTTTTTTTTTTTATTTTCTGTCAAGGCAGACCTTGTAGCCTTGAAGAGCATTACAAAATGAAATTGCCATTTTCCAAGCAATTATTTTCTACAGCTGTTCATGGCCAGTCTCTGCCAGCATCATGAATAAGCAGCTTCAAACACCGTTATTTTTACGTTGCTTTAGGTGAGATCCATAATATGTCTTTCCTTTATCAGTGGCTCTTCAGTCTTCATCAGCCAACAAGTAGACATTTGACCATCCCATTTGAAGCCGTTGAGCTTGCTCTAGTAGGTACCCCACTGGTCTTGCCAGCACTCAGGCATGTCTTGTCTCTCTTGTGAGCAGTTCCACTAAACCCAGACCATACAGCTGATGTGTTTGCAGCATCAGGCCCCTGGGGTTGCCCTTTGACAGCAATCTTTAAATAAATGCCTCTATATTCACACTGCACCAACCCAAGAATGGTATTACGTTTTCTACCATGTCTTTCAGAGGAGCCAAAGTTATTTCAGCTTCATGCAGCAGCTCTTATTTTCTCAGATTTTAATTGGCGTGGGGGACAGAAGAGAGATGAAGTTCCTCTTGGAGTCAAGGGTAAATCTGAAGTAACTCATTAGAGTTAATTGGCTTAAACTGGAATAAGCCCAGAATCCAGCCTGTTGCCATTTAATCCATACTAGGATTGTAGTAATCAATGCCTTCTGATTCATCTCTAGGAAGTTCCTCACTAAGACATACATCTCTTTTTGTCATCATTTTATCCCTCACTGTTTTCAAGCCATTTACCATTTATTGTTAAAAACTGACCATTTTTTGCTTGTTAATAAAAGACATGACATTTTAATTAAAGACAACAACTCACAAAGTCAGCAGCATAACGGTAAAAAAAAAAACAAAAAACAAAAAACAAACAAAAAAACCCCACCCAACTTTGTACAAAATACTGTAAATATTAATATAAATTAACTTGGCATGCAACTTAAATAAATCCTATGTTACTGCAAGTTACCTGAGTGTATAAAGACATGTATAAAGGAAAACCGAACGCCATATGTATCGGCTGTTTCCTCTAACCAAACACTACTGTAAATATATACTCTGTATAAAAAGATTTTAATTTTACCATTATTTATGCAATAGAAATAAAGTGTTTTTTTTTTTCTTTTGATGAGGGATGAAGTTTCTTTTTTCCCCAATTTGAAGCAGTCATTGATATTTATTCATGCCCAAGTACAAGAGCAAAAACTAGATTTGCATAAAGTATTAGAACAGAGACCCTTTCTTCCTTCTGAGGGATACATGAACATTTGGGGGGTTTATTTTGCTTTGAAAATAGATTTACATATATAAAGCCTGTTAATACAGAAAGAGCTCCTGGCTGAATAGATGCCTTGGCTGTTCAGAGCTGAGATCAACGCTTCAAGAGCAACACAGATGCACAGGACTCATCAGCATGCCAAAGAAAGGAATTGAACTTCTCCTCTGAAAGTGGAAGTCAAAGCCACAACTGTTGTGGTTGGTGGGCACCACATGTAGATCTCAAAGAGAAAGGTCAGACCATGCCATGTGCTCTTTTATGGAACTTGCTAAAAACTCAAAACCCCAGAGAGTCAAAGCCTGTTTCCCTGAGCTCAGATGGGCTTGGGTCCAGTGCGTTACTGCTGGGAAGAGAATGTTGACCACAGGTTTTAATCCTGTATCTTCTACTGCCAAGGCTTCATACCATGAGAGATGCTCTGTAAGGCTAAAATACACTGATGTGTCCCGAAGAGCAGCTGCTCCCTTAGAAAATCCAAATCTCTTCATTTCACTGTAGACCATTCTCCACAATGTCCGCCAGTCCGCCTTGTCCTGCAAGCCATTTGGCTGGAGAAGATGAAGATGAGGTTAATGATTGTCCTTGAAATTTTTTGTAGTGGTGCCTAAATTAAAGCCTAAAAGGAAACAGCTGATGTAGGCAAGTCGTCTTCACCCAACTGGACCCAAGTCGCAGTGGTAGGACTGCTGGAACAACCAGTGCAACCCCCAAAGCTCCCACCATGTCCGTAGGTAGACTACCACCTCTACCTTGTGCTTGGAAGGGAGCTGTGATGCTTTCCCTAGACCTGACCATTATTGCAAAAATAACATTTCTGGCTCCTTCATTTAAACTATGAAAACATGAGTGATTTTCCCCAGACAATAATATATATCACACTCCATTTCATGGGCTCACTTTATTTATTAATTGCCACCATTTGGACAACAGCCTGGCGGCTCAGATACTGTTCCTTATTCCTGGAACCATCACAGCTTTCAGTATGAGCAATTGTCTATGCGTGGATTACCACTGACAAGCAAGTTATGCAGGAAACTTATGTTTACAAAATTTGTGATCTAATAGTTTAAAAAAAGACACGGTACACTAGTTGACCTCTTACGTTAGGTAACCGGAGAGCATTTTCATGAATGGCTTAGGAAAGAACCTGAACTCATTACAGGAATGAATCAAATGTACTGTAGGCATATTTATCGTAGGAACAAATGAGACTTCGAATAAATTCTCTGCTGGAAAGAGAAACCTACACCACACAGCTCTCCTTTGAAAACAGTGTTCTCATGCAGACCATTGCGTCCAATGATCTCAGTGAAACCACAGATTTGTACATTGTATTTCAGCCACCAGAACCATTCAGAGGTTGAAATTCGCTGGCATCATTGCCAGTACATCAGCCCTCAGCAAGGATGAGCACCAATGATGCTCACTGGGAAATCTTCACTGACTGCAGGGAGAAAACAAACTTTAAAAGAGAAAAACACACCACATTTGGACTGAGATCAAACTGGTTTATCCCACCATAAAGAGCCCAAGAACGTGATCACTATTCCAGCTCTACCAAAGCTTGCTTAGCTCTTGTGCTATTTTAATGGTCTCCATTCAACAGAGAAATACAGTTGAAGGGTACCACCCCAAAGCCCCATCCTTCAGCTGAGCCCCAACAGGAGGATTTGGGTGCCTACTGCTGTGGGATCGGGCACTGGCAATGGGCAGGAACGACTGTGCAGATCTAATCCAGCTCCCAGGGAATTGGTGGAAACATTCCCAGACTTAGTGGGATTTGGATTAGGTCATCATACAGCATGGTATTTCACACCCTGGCTCCTTGCTTTGTTTAAATGGAGTCTGGCCAAGGCTTCAAATTTAATTACTGAAATACAAATACTGAAGAAATAAGGTTTTCCTTACTCTGAATGAAATTCAGGCATGGCCCCATCTAAAATATCTTGCCATCATTGGGCTCTCCAAGCTCAAAACTCTCAGCATAGAGTGTCTGGTCAGACACAATACTTTCCTCCAGGTATGTACACTCTGCCCATGACCCTGCAGACTGGTTTTACTGCTACAGACTCACCCACTTAATACACACTCCTTCCTGATTAACATCTATAGAAAGTATTTGCTAATTCCAGAGGCAGTAATTTATTTGATACAAGCTAGTTAATCCTGGCAAGGCTTTCCCATGTAAGTATAGCCTAATATAATCTTGTTTTAATTGCTTCTTTAAGAGTTTCTCAAAAATAAAAAACATTTTAATTAAAAAATTCACCAAGGGTATCTTCCAGATCTTTTCCCATTTGTTCTTCTTCCCACCAAAATTATCAGCACATTTGTAAAGTTCTAAAGAAAGTAATTACAGCAGATGTTGATTGCTGCTGCTAGTGTTGAGGTTGATGATTGCTACACATCCTCTCCCAACTTCTACTTTTTTGCATGCCAGCTGCTAAGGCTGGGGAAATTTAGGGGGAAGAAAGGGAAAGATAGGAGGAGTTACAATTAAAGAACTGCTAAGGACACAGAGATCTGGGCGAGGAACAGTGAGGAATGGCTGAAAGCCATTTCATTTTACCTATAATACCATTTGTAATGAAAAAAGGTCCTGCTGCACCATCACCTCCCCAAAAGGCAACATGATAAATCCACTAGAAGTGTCACCAGCACACACAATGTTACTACAGTGTGGAAGTATCAGACTGAAGATGACAAGTGCACACCTACCACACTGTAATAAATGTCTTTTAACCCCAATTTCCATCTAGATTTCCACTTGCCCACAGTGAGCTGTCTTTAGAATAAGATGTCAAAAATAATTCACCACATAATGACAGAAAGCTGACATAATCGTGGGATGAGCATACATGTCACTCCAGACAGACAGCGTATGCAGAGTCAGCAACCTGTAGCATGATGCCAACGGTTCAGGCAAACAAATTTGCAGTGTCTTGTGACTGCTAAGAGACAGGGCTGAAAAACAATTTGAGGGGCAGTGTCTCCCACCTCTGCTTTGAGAAAGAAAAATAGCATCCAGCAGTGCTCCCTCAAATGCTTGCTGATGGTGGAGTGTCACAAATAGAGTGAACTCTGGAGGAGAACCCTGTGAAGTCGTGCAAAAGCTCCAGATCATTCTCTACATCACGGGTTAGTCCCACAAAAAATTCAGATCTTTGCCTTCAGCCCATCAGTTTTCCACCTCTGTCCTTCTGAAGCCATCAAGCCAGATCTGCCAGAAAGGTTCTGCTCCACCGGTGGCACCAGAGAAATCTCCTGCAGGTGTACAAACAGGCCCCACATAGCTGGGTTTGACATACGGAAGTTCATCACATCTTAGAGAACAGAAGCTGCTTTCTGCAGCGCTGAATTTCACACACCCAAATCCTAGGGCAAAACCACAGCTCATGCAAATCCCTGGTGTTAGGAGTCTCTCATGCAGGCAGATTCGCCCACCTGTGGTGAGTGGTGAGGCAGGCAAGGCTCAGCCAGCATCCTGACTCTTGGTACAGCTGCATGGACAAAGCGAGGCTCTCAGTCCCAAGGAGAATGTGACCATGAGCATGGCTGCTACTGAGCCATGTCAGGATTCAACAAGTTCCAGCCTGCAGAGCATTTTACAGAAAGCATTAAATCTCACGAAATGAAGGATTTCAAATGGTGGTGCTGAGAGACCCCAGTGCTGGCAGTACGAGCAGTACCACTGTAATAAGGGTAATCACCTCATGTTATATGGAAAAACCTCTCAAGTGATTGCTGTTTGCAGAGGCTGATTAAATATAAATTAAACTCATCTGCATGTTCAGCAAGATATGTGAATCGAATAGCAAGAGCATCATTCCCATTGGCAGCGTGAGCATTTAGGGAGCTCATCCCATGGCCTGGCATGTCTGCACACATGGGCTGCTCTGCATCTTCTGGACCAGCACCAGCAACCTTGGCATCTGCATATTACTGAAAATAATAAACCATGTTCACTTAGATAGAGATGATTTCAGGTAGAGTATGGACAAAGAATTCATTAGTCTCAAGATGTTCATGGGTGAAGAATGCAGTTCCCTGTATCGCCACTGCCATATTTACAGCTGCTCATCTTCATTTCATTCAACTTCTCTAAATGCCAGGAAGGGAAGGGAAGGGAAGGGAAGGGAAGGGAAGGGAAGGGAAGGGAAGGGAAGGGAAGGGAAGGGAAGGGAAGGGAAGGGAAGGGAAGGGAAGGGAAGGGAAGGGAAGGGAAGGGAAGGGAAGGGAAGGGAAGGGAAGGGAAGGGAAGGGAAGGGAAGGGAAGGGAAGGGAAGGGAAGGGAAGGGAAGGGAAGGGAAGGGAAGGGAAGGGAAGGGAAGGGAAGGGAAGGGAAGGGAAGGGAAGGGAAGGGAAGGGAAGGGAAGGGAAGGGAAGGGAAGGGAAGGGAAGGGAAGGGAAGGGAAGGGAAGGGAAGGGAAGGGAAGGGAAGGGAAGGGAAGGGAAGGGAAGGGAAGGGAAGGGAAGGGAAGGGAAGGGAAGGGAAGGGAAGGGAAGGGAAGGGAAGGGAAGGGAAGGGAAGGGAAGGGAAGGGAAGGGAAGGGAAGGGAAGGGAAGGGAAGGGAAGGGAAGGGAAGGGAAGGGAAGGGAAGGGAAGGGAAGGGAAGGGAAGGGAAGGGAAGGGAAGGGAAGGGAAGGGAAGGGAAGAAATTTCAGTTGGAAGCGACCTACAATGATCTTCTAGTCCAACTGCCTGACCAGTTCAGAGTCGACCAAAAATTAAAGCTCAAATTAAAAATTAATGCTCAAATGCCTCTTAAACACAGGCTAGGGGCATTGACAGCCTCTCTAGGAAGAGCCTTATTTCTAAATCTGAACTATCATCCAGAGACCTCAGAACT